GTGTGTGTGTGTGTGTGTGTGTGTGTGTGTGTGTGTGTGTGTGTGTGTGTGTGTCACATTTCGTTTAAAACACCATCAGTTTCCAGCCGAAACGTTTCCTGAGGAAACCCTGGTTCAAGTGCTGGCGAGGAGCCTCTGTCTGTGCTGTAATTTTCCGACAAGCACACACACATACACTCAAAGCGCATTAATTAGATCATGATTATTAAAACTAACCCTTTTTAACCTCTGTGATGATGATCTAATATATAAAAGTATAAAACAATATATGACAAATATGTGCATTTAATAAACTCAATCCAGCCTAATGTTTGTTCTTCAGTCACAACCCTGGTGTGCATCTATTTAAACACTTAATCCACATTACCCACCACAATTATTGCCAGAGATCACTTCAAGAATAACTTTAGTGATGAGAAATGACAGATATGTGGTCATATTTGTTTGAAAATACTAGATCTTGTGATTGGCTCAAATTCTACATTAAATTTGATCTCAGTATCTGTAAATTTCACTATATTTTTGTGCTTGCTAATGTTGATTAGGTGTGACAGCCATCTTGAATTGGATTGAAATTAAAGTTTAATTAGTTGTAGATGTACATCCTTGCTTGTATTCATGTTTATGTTTTCTGTCTCCCGTAGGTGTACCAGGAGAACCCGGACTGAAAGGAGAAGTGGGTCAGACCGGAAAGATGGGGCCCTTTGGGGACAAAGGTGGAGGCAAAATACATTTTTAGTCTCTTCTTATTCTGAATTTAATTTCCACTCTTCCTCTTTTTCCCCACAATATGCTATAAACACCCCACTCAGAGATTTATTTATATGTGATTGTTTTTTTAATACAGCTGTTACCATCAGTGACTGAAGTGTGGACACTTTGAGCATCATGATAAATAAATTTTACAGGTCCAACCTTGAAACTTTGGCTTAATTGATAGGTTTTTGCTAAACTTTAAAATCATTAAAATTTCTAAAATGTGCCCAATAGGCACTGATTTAGACCCTAGACTGATCATTAAACTGAAGATAGTTTAAAAATCCCTCTTGCATCAACAAATTTATCTAAAACTTTGCCGTTTTCCTCATGTTCCCTCGCACACCAATGTTCACCGGCCGGTTCCCAAAACACACCCACACCTCCTCTGTAATTCAAGTTGTTTTCCCCCATTTGTTTTAAACGATATTTGAAGGGGGAGCCAAGCATCTTTCATAATTTTCCTTGTTAACTGCAGGAGAACGATGGAATCAGTGACGCCAGGTCAAAAACAAAAAGTTAAAATTCTCTTCTTCTAAAAAGAAATGGTGACTAAAAGCTGTAAGCACAAGAGTCAACAGAAGTAAAATAAACATCAAGAAATAGTGTTAGAAAAAATAAACTCAAATAAAAATGTTGTAAAATGTTATATTTTTAAAAGCTAACATGACTTTAAGCAACAACAATGAAATATATATATA